TGATATGAAATCATTTATATATTTATCACTACATGAACCGTGCGCCCCCCCCCCCCCCCCCCCCAAAAAAAAAAAAACTCCTACACACAAGACACACACGCACATTTGGTTTTTGTGATGCTTTCTTATTGATACCGACAGACAAGTTATAAGCTTTACTCATAGTAGGAGTTTCTTTTTAGTTCTATACAACTTTGAGTAAAGAGTGTTGACTCAGTAGGCCGGTATTCCCTTCTTATTGGGCTGTACAATAGATATTTTATACACACACATACACACACGCACACGTTTCTATCTCTCACACACGCTTCCCTCTCTCTCCCTCACACACACACCTCTCTCTCACACACACTTCCCTCTTTCTCTTTCTTTCTCACGCACACTTTCCTCCCTCTCTCTCTCTCTCTCTCTCTCTCTCTCTCTCTCTCTCTCACACACACACACACACACACTTTCCTCTCTCTGTCAAACACCTCTCTCTCACGGACACACTATGCAGTTCTTGGTGTACACAGTATTCCTGTTTGAGACACTAGGACTGCCGAGTGTCAATGTCCGACCCCTCGCCTCTCAATCTCTCCATGTCTCAGTGAATTGAATCTGCGTTCGTGCAAAATCTAGGAGACTCGCTTTCAAATCCAGCTGCGACTCGATGCAGCCCACGGCCGGTGTTCGAAACCGGGGCTCCTCGGGGTTCACCCAGCCTCTAGGAAATGGGTACCAGAGTTAACACTCTGGGGTAAATGGAGGAACGTCGCTGTAGCTACGGAGTTACGTGCGAACGGCGACACAGGTGGAACATTTTTTTTTATCAGCTGTCCGTACTGGTGGCAGAGCACTTATGGTTTAAAACAGTGTGCAATGACGCTGGTTCACATCTCCCGACTTTTTTGTCTACATAAGTGATCTTTAGCCCATGGGCCTCCGAAAAATTCAGCTTTATTATCTCGCGAGCGAGGTTAGGTGGTTCTTCTCTTCCAGTTCTTTATGGTTAACATTGTGGGAAAAGACTCAAAGGCATGACAGTAATACAAATCAGACGGAGAAATTGAATCGATCTTATCGCGCTTGGAATGTCAGAAACAACAGGCCACTCCCATACATTAGTTAGTACATGTAAGCAACAGCAAATATCTGATTGGCTGGAAATTGTAATTTTGTTGCCCGTGCGGGTTCTGGGGTCCCCTTGGGGCAAAACAAGAAAAGACCCACTGCCTCCTCGATAAGCATGTCGCAAGAGTCGACTGATTAGAGGTTTCCTTCGAAGTCGGAGTGCATCTGCCTGAGAGACAAGAAGCCAACAGTCTGCATGAAATTGAGTCAGACCTGTGAACCTGTGGACTAGAGTCCAGAAGTGGTCCAACGACCAGAACCTTCGGCCGGAATTTACAACTAGTGAACTCGAAGAAGAAGAAGAAGAAGATTAGCTGAAAATTATACTTTTGCAACATCGGATTTAACAGATTAAATGTTGTTCACGTTTGTTTTTGTGTCTGTGTTTATTTAGGAGTCAGATGGGCCGTGAAACAATTTTCCCCTGTTTTGGTGGGCTACTGGTGTAAACAGGTTGAGGGAAAATATAAAACCAAACGAAATGTTGATCAGCAAGTTTTACTATATAACAAGCGCAGGCGAAAACTGAGCATTCATCGGCTTCTTCTTCTTCGTGTTCACCGGCTGTAAACTCCGGCGGACAGTCCTGTTCCAGAAACTGAGTGCTGCATGCACATTCGTTTCACAGGTCTGACTCATTTGCATGCAGACTGGTGGTTCCTTGCCTCTCAGGCAAAGGTACTTCGACTTCGAAGAAAGCTCCCAATTAGTTGACTTTTACAAAATGCTTCTGAGCAGGCAGTGGGTCTATTCTTGTTTTCCCCACAGTGGGGCCCCGGAACCCACACAGGGTATCCTTCATCAGTATATACATGAATAACACGAATACGCAAAAATCATCTTAACTTACGTAACCCAAAGCAGCTTCGTTGATGTCTTGCCAGTGGAATGGCACAGGTTGAGGAACTGGTGCACATTAGATGTATTCTTGTTAACGCCGCTACGTCAGCCTAGCGTCGGTACCCAGGGCAGACATATAGTCAACAGGTTGTTTCGACTGAACTGGTCGCATCGACCTGGCGTGTGTTTGTTTACAGGGACGGTTAACACATCTGTATGCACATAGAACGTCAACAACTTTGAGATATGCAAAGATAACAGTCATGCTGTAGGGCCGTCATAGAACTCTTGCCCTTTATACAATACAGACAGAAGGCTATCGCCCACAGCAGAAGGTTGTATTTCAATCAAGATATGCAGTCGTGGTAACTGTGTTTTGTATAGACAACAGACCGCGGTGCTTTATTAATATCTTAACCCAAATAGGGGACATCCACAGGTCACGGGGAAGTCTAATATTTCAGGGGGTTGTAGATAGGAGCATGTAGTCGTGAGACCTAGGCTGCACTCTCTCGTGCGACATAGGTGGCTTGGGGTAGGGCCAGTTCTCGATGTTTTGGGGTCGTTAAAAGCATCAGAAAGCCCGGAAACCCAGTCTTACCACCCTCTAAAATGTTGGACTGTCCTGTGGCGTCATCTAGGGTAGGATATTAATAATAAACCCAGACCGCGACGTTCTGCAGAGGATCTGCTACACAATAACGATGATGATTCCAAGGGCTAAATGAAGCTCAGGAGCCGCTTCTTGGATCCCATACCCGCATGGGACTAACGGGTAACTTTTTGTAACCATGGGTGGTCTAATATGACTGTTAATTTCGATTAAACAGAATATCTATGTTCGGCTCCAGATGAATTGGCATCTGAATGGTTGTTGCTATTGAATCTGGGTGTCACCCCAGTGTGGGTTCAGGGACCCCATTGTAGGGAAACAAACCGTGTATGCTGTGACGTCATTTTGGGGAGTTCCCATGCCGTGATGTCATTTTTTGGGAGTTCCTGCGTCGTGTCATTTTGAGAATGAGGCCAAGGCCTGCATTTGCTGTGAACAATAATGTGATCAAGTTTTTGTCACCCGTTCTTATTTGAATCTCTCTCTCTCTCTCTCTCTCTCTCTCTCTCTCTCTCTCTCTCTCTCTCTGTCCCTTTCTCTCTCTGTCCCTTTCTCTCTCTCTCTCTCTCTCTTCTCTCTCTATATTCCTTTCTCTCTCTGTCTCCCTCTTTCTCTCTCTCTCTCTGTCCCTCTCTCTTTCTGTCTCTTTTCTCTTTCTCTTACTCCCTCTGTCTCCCTCTCTCTTACTCTCTCTGTCTCCCTCTTTTTTTTTTCTCTCTGTCCCCCCCCCCCTCTCTCTCTCTCTCTCTCTCTCTCTCTATGTAAAAAGTACATTCAGCCTATTGTATAAACTTTTTCAGCCTCGTTCTAAACCTGGTATGTTATTAAAAGTCCTGTTTTCGCCATTGGATTGAAATGTCAGCTACATTAACAGGCATATCACTCTTTAAAAACATACTTAGGTGGGGGAGGAGGCGAGAATCGAAGGAAAGAGAAAATTAGATACAAGTGGGAGGACAATGCCAAGAGATGGACGAATAGTACGAGAGAATGTACAGCCTAGACAAGACAGTGTAGTGGAGATCCATCGCAGCCGGCCTTTTCTGAGATTCTTCTGCTTCTTCTTGTTGTGTTCGCTTTCTGATTTACACCGACCGACAGGTTCTTCTGATAAACTTGACTGTTTTTATGAGTTCCTTTTTAGTACCATACAACTTTGTGTGCTGCAGTGGTGAACAAGGGACAGTCTTGCAGGACATGTTCTGTAGTCTGCACACATAGCCCACAAGGGCAAAAAGGTGAACTACTAAGACGAAGCCTGTACATATGCTGGTTAAGTTTGTTATGTCCTGTCCTGAGACGTAGGACAATGACCTGCCCATGCCGGTAAAGTAAGTGGTCTTTGCGGAGATTGTGCTTGCTATTTATTGGTTTCCCTTATGTAGGCACAGACTGGTATTTGTACAAACCAACTTTTGAGACAACAGAAACATTGTTTGGTCAAAGGGAGGTAATCAGTATTATCGCAGGGCTCTCTACGCTTGTTGTCCGCTGAAATGTCTTGATGGTACGAACAAATATGCGCCCGCTTAAGTAGAGGCTAAATGAACATTAATATCAACCACGTATGTCAGATTCTCGGCAGCGGTAGATGCACATCAGCAAATTTTAAAAATATATATATAATATTGCATTTAATAAATAAAATGCAGGCTACATTTGTTTGTGACTTCGCTGTCAGCATGTCCGCAATATATTTATCCTATTTCCCCCAGTCCGCTGGTGCAATTTTTCGTTATTTGAAGCCCCATCCTGGCTTCTGCCGGGGGCCCTGAATATAGCGGACCATAGATATGGTCTAACGGTTTAAAGGGGTTTCTGGGACCTCTACACAGGTGATCCTCATCCGCATAGTGGCACTTTGTGTCACCGGGTGTTTATCGCTTGTGTGATGTCCTGGTGGGGTAAACAGTCAGTCAGTCAGTCCGCAGGTGTGAGCAGTTTGAAAAATGCTGCTCTAGATGTATTGGAGTGCGTGAGAAAGACCTCTTCACAGGTGATCCTCATCCGCATTGTTGCACTTTGTGTCACTGGGTGTTTATCGCCTGTGTGATGTCCTGATGGGGTACAAAGTCAGCCAGTCAGTCCGCAGGTGTGAGCAGTTTGAAGAATGCTGCTCTAGATGTATTGTAGTGCGTGAGAACGACCACCATGGTTTTGTACTTAACAAAAGGGAAATCCCAACTGCAACTTCAAGTGGTGTCTAAGTAGTATATCAGTTTTCACACATGATGAGGGAAGTTGAAAACATGATATGAATTTAGAATTTAGTAATTATATAATTAGCTTGAACAAAGAAAAATGCATTATGTGAAATGCATATTAGCTTATGTTATATTAATAACCAATTGGGTTTCTTTTTGCTATAATAAAAATACATATTTAATTTTTTTTTTATAATTTTTTTCATTTGCACTATCCTAAGGTCAAATGGATGATGTACTGGATTGTGTTTGCCTTGTTCTGTGCTGTGGAGACCTTTTCAGATGTCTTCCTTTCATGGTAGGTTTATCTTGTGATATTTTTGGTCTCAAATGTTTGATGAGTGTCAGAAACAGGTCTATCAGTACTGAAATGGTTTTGGGTTCAAGCCTACTTGTAATGATAAAGGGTAGGTAGGTAGATAAGTTGTACCCCACCAAGATAAACACCAGGTGACACAAAGTGCCACCATGCGGATGTGGATCACCTGTGGAGAGGTCCCAGAAACCCTGTTCCACCGTTGAGTTATATTCCAGGACCAGCTAGTATTAGGGCCCCCGGCAAAAGCCAGGGTGGGGCTTCAAAATAGATCATAAATGCATCCCACAATGGGATGACAAGGTTAATATAATAAAAGTACCTTTGAGCAGATACTGTCCATGTGTATTAAGCATCAGTCATCTTTTGTGTTCATATATTCTTAACTCTTGATCTGAATACACAAAAGAAATATGGCATTTTAATGTGCCCGTTAATGTCTGTTCTATCATTTAAATAAATAGGCTCATGTTTTCCCGTACTTCTGTTTGCCTTCTTGGAAATCTGCTGTTAGTACTTATTGAGACTGAAAGAGTTAAAATTATTTTCAGAAATCAACATATTGTCACCTTTTAGATTGTTTTAGATTTTTTTTAGTTGCATATCCTTTACAGAACGTTGCATAACCAACCCCAGCAGCCCCTGGCTGTTGTGTGGTTTCTCTAGGCAAATTTACATCCAGTAGTTTGCCATTGCTTTCTAGACAGTCCACTTTCTTGATACCACTGTCGAAACCAACGCAAGGCGCATGGCCTGCAGCTGGGATCAAACCCGGCATCCTGGCATTACACATCGACTTAGCCACAGAGCCGACACCTTTTAGATTACAGCAAAGAAAACACAAACAGCAGATTGCACAGTTGAATGTGGTGAATTTTTCTTTTTCACTTGAAAGGCTTTTTCTTCTTCTTCTGCACTCATGCTTAAAAGGGCTTATTGTGCCTTATATTGTGGTTACACCTAGGCTGTGATATAAATTTCAAAAGACTTCTGAGTTATGAGTTGGATTATCTTCACAGCACTCCAGACACATCTATAGGTGTTTATATTCCCCCCTCAACATGTTCATCAGTGTCGCGCGGGTAATAGTGCCAGTCCTATGCTGATTGACAAGACCTTGTATGCGTCTGGTGTGCTTCTCATGCTTGGCTGTGCTGAGCTTTACTCCCAGTTCTCGTATTCTTAGCAGTGATGTGGACAGGTTGCTTTCAAAATCCTCAAAACGTCCTACCCCTGTAAGGGCAAAAGACTTCCAATTAGCCCCTTTTACAGCAAAAGATTATTGAGGTGTGTTAGGTCTGTTTACACAAGAGCCAGGGGCTGCTGGGGTTGGTTCTGCAACATCCTGTAAAGCATACGCAACTAACCTTTTAGGTCAGTTTGTGTGTGTTCTCAAAATGAGGCTCTTGAAACTATATGGGGATGTTGAAATGATTGATTTACTTGCTTCACCTGATTTAATTCTTCAGTATACACATGACGAGATACAGCTAAATATGCCAGACAGTAAATGCTGCCATCTGTTGTTTGTGTCTTCTTTGTTCAGATCAGTATAATAATCTTCATTCTCTCTCTCTCTCTCTCTCTCTCTCTCTCTCTCTCTCTCTCTCTCTCTCTCTCTCTCTCTCTCTCTCTCTCTCTCTGGGTGTATTCTTCCACCCCCACCCCCATGTTTTTACTATTTTTTTCTGACTTACTTATTATCTCTTCTTCCTATTTTTCCCTTTCTGTCGGTTGTTTTTTTTTTTGTTTCACCCTGATTCTCTCTCTCTCTCTGTCTCTTTATCCTCACCCCTCTGGCTCTTTCTCTCCCCCCCCCCCCCCCCCTTGTCTCCCTTTCTCTCTTTGTGTATTATTCTCTCAGTCTCCCTATTTTTTCTCTCTGTGTCCCCTCCCCCCCTCTACTTTCATATTCCAGCGAGCATGTCCGATTACCTGCCCTTTCATCTAAGACCTGCCACACTCACAACTCTCCGAAGACAACAAAACACGCCTAGCTATTGCTACAGGTGATAAAACAAGAGTAAGCACAAGTTGTTCAGTGAGACAGATGTATCACCTTGAACAAAGTAGGGATTTAGAAGGGAAACAAATTACAGTTCAAGGAGAACACAGATGAAAGGAAGATACCATATGTTTAACATGTGCATGTGATATATTCACTGAAATGAGGAATCAGTTACCTTTTCATGAAAAGCTGTACCCATTGAAACTGCAGCCAGAAAATATGCTGGGATTATCTCCTTGAATTTCCAGCTGTCTGGATAGATCTCTGATCTGGTTACAGCAGTTGGAGTCTTTCCTATGAATGGCATTAGGAGGTTTTAGAGTAGACACATCAGCAGCTTTGAGGTAATAAGGCCAGGAGCAAAGCTGAATCTGTCTGTATCAAGAAGACTTTTCTTCTAACCCTCCTCCACCTTCTCCATTTACCTCATTGAAGTGTTGGGAGAGGGTGATGTAGGGATCCTCTGTGTACTGTTTCTAATATGTTGAATAAGGTGATCTTCATTCCTTTAAGGTTATTCTAGATGCTGTCATTCCATTCTTCATGTCTTTCTCTTGCTCCTTGTTCATTATATTTCTGTAGCATGGCTCTCTGTGGCAGTTGTTACTAAGGCATTTTTCATCAGGGGGGTGAAGTATTGCATCTGTTGCTCTTTAAGGAACTGTGTGCCTGGTTTCTGTCCTAGTTGTATTCAGAAGTGAATTTCCCAAAGACAGACTATGACTAGGAAGCTCATAACAAAACATAACATAACCCTTGACCCACTAGGATCATGGAGGTGTATTGATGGTAGCACTAGCACACAAAAGCCGCCATCTTTCTCTATCTTCCGCTTGGTGAATAACTAAGTCCTGTCCTATTCTTGATGTTGTTTTTCCAAGTTCTTCTTTGCCCTCCTCTTCTTCAACTACCCCCCAGTGGGAGAAAGAAAAATTTGCGCAGATACAGTCATTTAAACATTTCCAGTGGAGTCTTTATCTCTTTATCAACAACTAAAAACAAGAAGTAGTAATATGAAACACCAGCCCTTAATGGAAGATTCAACTGAAACAGAAGAAGAAAAGAAATTGAAAGGCAGGAATAGGAAAAAAAATGTTGCAAAACAAAACCAATACAAAGAGATAAAAATATTCTTAAGGAAAAAAGACAAAATAAGCAACTAGTTACCCCCATTTTCAACATCTGTCTGTATGTCTGACAATGATATTTCTATTAGCATCTGTATTCCAGCTTGTGATTTTCAGATATCTTCATGTTCACAATAGAGGTATAGAAATGAGGTACAGTGAAATGGGTTTGTTTGTTTAGGGATGAGGTGTATGTCTCTTGCCTTAGAGATTCTAGACTTATGTCAGTTTAAAGGGTAATTTTAAAAAGAAAAAACATCACATTAATTATAACTATCACTCTAGTGTCACTATGAGTGGGTTAATCAGTTAACCACAGTTCCACCTTTATGCCGACTGGTCATCCCAAGCTGTTCCCTTCCTGTGTGCCAGTGAAAACCCACACAGAATGCATATTAATGTCTCTTCTAAACACATTTGAAGGAACTGCAGTCTCTTTAAGGTCACTAGCATACACAAACATTAAGTGCACAAGGCAGTCATCAAAAGTGCCAAGGAAAACAATCCTTCACTAGAATTGCAGTTGATCGTAGATTAAAGCAGCATTTACAACAAATAAGCATACAACATTGCACAAGGCACTGTCATTTCTTGGCAACAGGCCACTCACCCACCTTTTTATGAATCTGCAGTTCACAAGCCAGTTTGGCCACGGCCGTTAAAGCATCCCAAATTAAATCAGCCACTCACAGTGTTACACCATGCACTCAGATCAGTAGCTGGGTGACAGAACTATATTCTTTCGGTCAATTTGTGAGGGGAAATACAACAGCTAATCGTGGCCAGAGCAAATATCTTGCCAAGATTAAAACCTGAGGTCAAGTTGGGATCTTGGTGGCAAAGTGGTCAAGCTGTTTGCCTCCTGCTCCAAAGGTCGCTGGTTCATTTTAAGGCTGCGCTGTTCAGTTCACAAGTTTAGTTTTTAACGGAGGTCCCTGGGGATCTCGCCGGAACTAGAGATAAAGAGTTCCTGCTCTGTTGGGCACTTTCGGCGAGCAGGCGGCTGTTCTGCGGAGAGAGTCCGAGCCATAAAGGATAAAACCCAATGCAATGACGTAGATCCTCTCAACATTAACCTTTTACCCAAAAGACCGGAAGTTGGATAGTAAAGTTAATGGCTGGCAGTTTGTTTAATATAGGTGAGAAACAGAAGGTCCCGCTTGTAGGATGCCCATATTAAAGGCCCCTTAGCAGATGAAAATAATTACAACCTGTTCCAGGTGACTGTGCTGCCAACAGCATTTTAAGTGAAAACCTGTTGAAAACAAAATTTTCTTGTAAGTTTGCAGATAAAAAGGACATCATATCTGATTTCATATAATTTGATAAAGTCATGTGTTTATGGAAGGATATAGATATCAGAGCTTAGACATAATCTTCTTCTTCGTATTCTCGTCGGACTTTAGTCGTGTTCCAGAACCCGAGTGTTGCTTGCTCATCTATTTTACAGAGCTGGCTTATTTGTGTGCAGATTGTTTTCCTTGCCTCTCAGGCAGATGTACTCTGACTTCGAAGGATGTCTACAGTTAGTTGATTCATTCAACATGTTTGTTGGAGAGGCAGTGGGTCTGTTCTTGTTTTCCCCCCACAATGGGGCCCCGGAACCAACATAGGGAAGACGTAACACAACTAACATTGTTTTTAGGACAGGTGACATGGAGAAGACCTTCATTTTACTTGTAATGCTTCTTTTGCTTGACTGTAACCGAAATGTCATATATTTGAATGGGTAACTCCCGGAAGTCTAATGCAGCAGACAAATGCCAGAAGAAGTCAGCAAAAAGGTGCAAGTACTGCATCTCTGCTGAAAATGAGCACAGTGCAGATAAGTCCAACACAAAAATATTGGATGAATGAAGTAGAAGAATAATCAGTAAATGTGTGAGGAAATGCAGTGGACCATCAGTAATAATGACGTATATTTCATTCTAACAGGTTTCCCTTCTACTATGAGTTCAAGATTATATTTGTACTATGGATGCTTTCCCCCATGACTCAGGGATCCAGCTTTCTCTTCAAAAAGTTTGTACATCCACAGCTGGCTCGCAGGGAAAAGGTATGCAGTTTTCACACAGATGCTGCTGATATGGATGTATCATCTATAGTAGTTTATTACTTATAAAACACACCACACAATGTTCAGCAACACAGCACACAGTGTTTAGCAACACACCACACAGTGTTTACCAACACACCACACAGTGTTTACCAACACAGCACACAGTGTTTAGCAAGACACAATGTTCAGCAACACACCTCCCAATGTTCAGCTATCTTCTCTAGCTTTTTATCATTACTTTTAATTCATCTATTATGTAATTATTTTCGTGTTGAAACTGTTGTTCTTGTAGTTCCTTTACTTCAGTCATCATCATGTGGTTTGCCGACTGTGATTATACCTCTCCACAATATGCAGTCTGCAGCAGCATGTATCAGCTTGTGTGCAGACACCCCTCTATGCCATGACAAAAGGCTGTCAAGAATTAAATTAGCTTGCATTGTTTTGCTCTGTCTGCTTTTTCCACAGCTCTTTCCATTAGTGACAACATGGTCCAATTTCCTTCTCATAATTTGACCAAAAAATGATGACTTGATGACTGTCTTTTTCTGATGTTTGTGATAAGTTGTCCTTGCAACCTCACCTCCTTTAAAACATCTGGATTGTTCTTTTTGACTATCCAATGAATTCTTAGGATTCTTCTTTAAAATCACATCTCCAAGGCCTCAAGAAATTATTTGGTTTGTTTATTAATTGTCCAGGATTCACAGCCATATGTTAATCACAGTTTCAACTTCACTTCTGTTTTGTGAAAATGAAACAGTAACATTATTAAATATATATATATATATATATATATATATATATATATATATATATATATTTATATATATATATATATATATATATATATATATATATATATATATATATATATATATATATATATATATATATATATATATATATATATATATATATATACACACCACAAAGTGGCTTTCAACAACATGAAATAAGGCCTGTTAAAGCGTGCAAGATATATATATTGGGGGAAGTAGTTGTGCATTTGAAAAATTCAGTCATATATCAGGTTTCCACCCTGCATGGGTTTAGAGATCCCATTTTGTGTGAGTGGGGAGGGGGGAGGGGAATAGACTGCCCCACTAACAGGCATGTCATAAATGTGACTGTTTAAGGGTGCTTCCTTTAAGGTCAGAGTGCAGCTGCCTGAGGGATGAAGAACCAACAACACGTTTATAAAAATGGGTGTGCAAACAGAATTCAAGTTCTGGAACAAGACTAAAGCCCTGAAGTGGACAAACAGCCAGAGTTTACTGCCTCTGAACCCAAACAAGAAGTAAACAAGTTACAATGGTGATAATGGAAGGATGGTTTGGACCTACATGTGAAAATCTGAATGTTGTGTGGTGCACTGATGCCACCATAGAAGGCTGCTTCCTTTGTCCTCACGTTTTATCTGGTTGTAGCCAAGAGCTGTGGTTTTTCTATATTTTTGTCTTTCGCTTCTCTAGCGGCTTGAAGGAACGATTTTTTTCTTCTGTTTGCAGGATTCAGCTACTCTGTCCGTCTCTTCCTTGGTCTTCCTCTCATCTTCCACCAAGTTATTCTTCTGTAAAAGTCATATACAGTTTTTTCTAGCTGCTCTCTTAATAAGTGGACACACCATTTTATTCTCTGTCTTTCGCTATAGTTCCGGGCTTGGAGAACAAGAAATGGAAGCTGTGCTTGTGACAGAGGGTCATGTCAGCTGAAGAAGAAGAAATAGACTGGGCAATTTTGTATCCTATATTACTGTCTAAATAGGACACACGAAACTTATCAAATATCACTTCTCTTTCCTCTGCTGTTCTGGACATGTTTTGAGTGTTTGGTAGAATAATGCATTCACATCTACCTTGGTTCATACTTATTTATTCCGTGCAGACATAATTATGTCGAGGCTAAAAGTAGATTAAATTTCAAGAAGCAGTTAACCATTTTTGCCCCCACTGTTGTTATTTTAACACTGTCTGTCCCAGTGTCTTTCTGCTTTTACTTTACTTAAAAGCCTTGAGTAAGACAAAAGAGATGAAAACAAGATGTCATGACTCTGTCTGAGTGGATTTGATGTAGCACAGCTGTCTTCTTCGTTGCATATATTGTTGTCACACCCAGGTTCGTCTTTAGGTTTGCTACAGGAAGAGTCGATTGGAAGATTATAGACGAGGAGAAAGATGGTCGTGTCGATAGTGGTGGTGATGATGATGATGTCTTGCTTGCTGCATGCTTCTCATGTGACTCTGATGCTTGTATACAAAACAGCTGGAAACAACTCTTCTTGTCTGTACTGTCTTTATTGTGACACTTTAGCATTGACACAAATACATCAATAATATTCTGAATGGCGCTGTGTTCTCTATGGCTAAATACTCGTAGGTTCGCGTTGTGTTCTTCTTCTTTAGTTACTTTGTTAAACTGGTTCTAGTGTCTCTTACTGCCACCTGGCTTCTAGTACTGTTGGTACTAACGGCTTGATCGTCGACTCTAACATCTCTGTAGTGTTCCTAATGTGTCTCTGTTGACCATGGATCCATGTATATCTTGTGTGTCGTCTCTGTAGCTCGATGTCTCGTTTCTTTGTCTGCTCTCCAGTGACTGTCTTCTAGGTTCAATATGAACGGCTGCTCTGCTTCCAGTGTTGAGCTGGCATCAAGGATCATTGAGACTAGTCGCTCGTCCTCTGAGTCTCGACTGAAGGCTTTTAGTGTTGGGCTAACATCTCTACCACTGCAGACTGTCTTGAGAGCCCATGTGACTGGCCTCTCCTCTCTCTCGAGTCTTGTGGACTGAAGAATTGCTAAAGTGCTTTGTTACTCGCTATTTATACTTGGATGCTGGAATGCTAGATATTTGTTCTCTTCTCGCTTTGTCCGCTTCTAGAATATTCTAGTACGTCTAAACTTTTTTACTATGTACGTTCTCACATGGGATTTGCTAATAATATCTCGATTGCATCAGATTTCATCATCCTATTCTACGCAGATATAGTAGTTAAACTGACAATTGAGGTCATAGAAGCTTCTAGAAAAACAAGGACAATTGCGTTTGCTTTGATAGGGCACGTCAACAAGGTATTCACTAGCACGACAAGGTTGGGTCACATGATGAAAAGAATGCATTTCAAAACTTCTAGAAAGAAGGCCAAGGCCAGACAACATCAGTTTGATGTCAATAGCTTGTTTTGGCGAGAAAAGAAGATTCAGGAAAGGAATGTCAAGGGTGCCAAAACTTGTTGATTTCCTTATATCCTAGCTTTGTGCCTAGTAACAGACAAGCTATGACCCATTCTGTTACATTGAGGGAGGGGGGGGGGGCGTTAAGACCTGCTGCCCCCTAATACGCATGAGATGATTAGTGATTTGAGAATCCACATCATAGCACACCGGGCATACTCATATATGCTCCATCTCCCCCAGCAAAATTCTGGAGATGTCGATGCTAACTGTTCCCATAGTACACTGATTATACACATTTTGTTCTCTTCCTCTCATGTGTCCCTCCTTGCCGGATCCATTCCTGATTCCTCATTTACACATACTTGCTCATGTTATTTCATCCAATCTCGTGTCTTCTGTCAACATTCATTCACATGTGGTCTTCAGAATATCTCCCTTGTTCAATATAAATATTCCCGCATCTGTCACTTCTGTAGCCAGAAAATCTGCCTCTAGTAAAGCATGTAGTAAGAGGCAACTAATTCCAGGTTTGCTAAAATCGGATGTGATGGGCAGAAAGGTGCAGATATCACAACCTAGTTGTAAACCGTACCTTACCATGCCAACCACCCTTTTGAAGATGAACACAGATGAAGCACAGAAGATATCACATGGCCAACACCATGATATAGCTATCACTCGAATAATTAATATCATCATCATCAGTCATCAGTTCTCGTTATGCCTAGTGGCACATGAGGCTTCAGAGAGGACTTTCCTTGCTTTCCTGTCCTGTGCAAGCTTCAGTGCAGTTTTCCATGTCAAAGATGCTGCACTCAGGTCACTTTCCATCGTTCGTCTCCATGTTGTTTTTGGGCGCCCCTGTTTTCTCTTTCCCTCTGGTGTCCATGTGAGAGCTGTTTTGGCAGGTATATCAGGATTCATTCTCATAACGTGGCCAAGCCATTTCCATCTTCTCTTGGTTATCATACTTTCTAAAGTTTCTTGGTTTGTGACTTGAAGTAGTTTAGTGTTTGAGATTGTATCTGGCCAGAAAATTTTGATAATTCTACGTAGACATGTGTTGTGGAAGATGAACAGCTTTAGTGCATCCATTTTGGTCATTCTCCAGCATTCCGCTCCATAAAGAAGAACTGGCAAAATAATGCTCTCGTAGAGTCGAAGTTTCGTTCCTCTGCAGTAATTGTTGGATTTCCAGATTTGCCTCATCCTTCTGAAAGCAGCTCTAGCTTTGTTCAGAAGTGACAGTATGTCCTCTTCGGTCCCTCCCGGCAGGGACACCACACTAATTAATATCAACAACCTTTAAAACCCTTGTCAATATTGCGCTCATATATCCAGAATGGTGCAGCGATCTGCAAGACATCTAGAACAAGGGCAGCTGAGCAGCGAAGACAGACCAGAAAAACTCCCCAAATAGGCCTTTTATGTGCAGACACTGTGCCCTGCCCTCATTGTCCTAGACTCATCCGGGCACGCACTGGACACATCCAGACCCACAAACATTCTATTCCTAACAGATGAAAGAAAGAGTGGTCCTCATCACTTGTGATGGACGAACAACAACAACATATTTGTTGTATGTTTAACTTTACCATTTCCTTACTTCAGCTGATAAATTTATTTTATTGTTTCAGGATATAGATGAACTGATAGAGCAAGCAAGAAGACAGGGTTATTCTACATTTGTTGATCTAGGAAACCGGGGTATTAGGGTTATTATGAAGTCTGTAATATTGGTAGGTATCATTGTTGTAGTCACCTTCCTCTGTGATTCCTTTTTTACCTGCTGTTTTTTTTAGTTTTTCTCATTTTACTGCTAGTGGTTTTTTTTCTCATCAGTTTTATAGTTCTTTCTTCCTCTTTATCACTGTTTTAAGTTTATATTATTCGAACAGAGAATCTGTTGCTATCAGTAAGTAAAGTAAAGGTCCCTTTTCCACACCTTCAGGCATATAAGGCTAGACCTATATTTTATTGACCAGTTGGCACTTGGTGGGTGATGTGGTATAAATATCCCTCAAATGGGTTTTGCGGCCCCATTGTGGGGATAAGAATAGACCCACTACCTCCCCAACAAGCATGTCATAGGAATCGACTAATCGGGGCATCCTGTGAAGTCAGAGTGCATCTGCCCGAGAGGCAAGAAACCAATAGTCTGCCTATGAATAAGCCAGATCAGTAAAACAGATGTGCATGCAACACTTAGGTTCTGGAACAAGAATAAAGGGGGGAGGTGGACCCAAAAAAACCCAGAACTTTCCACCAGAGTTTACAAGGGGTGAACACCCAGTAAATTGGCAGTGTTTTTCTTGTCCACCCAGTATATTCGTAATATTATCCTTGTCCACCCAGTATATTCGTAATATTATCCGTGTCCACCAAGTATATTCACAATATTATCCTTGTCCTCCCAGTATATTCGTAATATTATCCTTGTCCACCCACTATATTCACAATATTATCCTTGTCCACCCAGTATATTCACAATATTATCCTTGTCCACCCAGTATATTCGCAGTATTATCCTTGTCCACCTAGTATATTCGCAGTATTATCCTTGTCCACCCATTTTCAGCTTAGAACAATAGTGGGATGTCCCGGTTTTAGTCCAAGATATTGTGGTCACCCTACTTGAAAAAAACAAGTTAGTTGTGTATCCTTAACAGGACATTGCAGAACCAACCCCAGCATTTTTTGGCTGTTGTGGTTTTTCTAGACAAATTTACTGTCAAAACCAACACAGGGCCTGCGGTTGGGATAGAACTCGGCACCCCGGCATTACGAAGACCCTGCATAGAAATTATGGAAAAACATAAGAAGGGCCTTAGTTCAAACAACAGAGAAACATAAACTACAAACCAAACTACAACAGAATACCCACATAATCCACATCAAATATTGGAATAATATCCATTCATACTTCAAGTGTCCCAATATCCACATATGTGAATAGGCATATCCACTGGAAGAATCACAATTTGATAATTCGAGGCATTGAACACTTTGCAGGCATAGTTATTAACACTTCATAACAGCCTTTTTTGATAACAGAAATAGAAAGCGCAAAAAATCAGTTCCTCTCTTCATTTCACTCCAAAAAATTTATAATCGCCCACATTGCACAGCTGACTGAAACTGCGACATGGCCCGACTGCTGGAGAAGGTGTTGGTTTGAAGAAAAAAGGATATGTGGGTGATATACCTTTATGTTTATCAAATTATACTGTTCATCATAAGGAAACATTACAGCTGCCGTTTATTATGGATGTGTGAAGTGTGATCCTGTGCTATTCTACTTTCTCCTCTTTCATGCTGGGAAAAACACATTTCTCTACAAACATCTGCCGTGAAAAATGCATTTGTAGGACTGGGTTTTGTCTTTCCACTTTCTTCTGTACTTTTACAATCAGACTCTTATTAATGTCATAATTATGCCCCATGTGGGTTCTGTGACATCATTTGGCGGGGGGCTGGTGAATAAACCCACAGCCTCCTAATAAGCATATAATAGAAGACAACTAAACAGCGATTTGTTAAAATCAGATGAGCCGGGCCAAAAGATGCAGATATCACAGCCTAGCTTAACCCACAACACAGCATGCCAGCTTTACCTGTTTACAACCCCCTCACCCCTCCCCAAAGAAGAATAAAAATAACATAATTCTAAACAAAAGAACATCACCTTGAAAATAACCCTTATCTTTGCTTACATCACATATTAACAAAAAGTAAATAATTGTATTAAAGCATTTTATTGTCGAGAACTTCACTTGCTAAATAGCGATTTCCTAAATCAGATGAGTCGGGCCAAAAGATGCAGATATCACAGCCTAGCTTAACCCACAACACAGCATGTTAGCTTTACCTGTTTACAGCTTCTCCCCCCCCCCCCCCCCCCCCATAATATAATTGTAAACAAAAGGTCACCTTGAAAATAACCCTTATCTTTGCTTACATTACATATTAACAAAAAAGTAAAAAATTGTATTCAACCAGTTCATTGTCGAGAACTCCACTTGCTTAATTATGACATTTAAATAATGGAGTCACAGACTGGACATTAACAATTTACTACATATATATTCCAGGGTCAGTCCAAGCTGGTTGACCATCTACGTCGAAGCTACAGCACCAGTGATTTATCCAATGATGGCCACAATCTGATGCAGCGGCATGAGGCCATTGGTGACCAGGAAGATGATGGTGAAGACGAATTAGGTGTGTTCAACAAATTTTTAAAATAAGGGGCATATCTGCTCATTTATGTGTAAATGAAAATATAAAGAAGATTATTGACACATTTTCCTATGTGGGTTCCAGGGCCCCAGTTTGGGGTTGAGGGGGGGGGGGGGGAGGGGTTAATAGTGCCGCTGTTCTTTAATAAGTATGTCATACAGGTTGACTAATTAAAGATTTCGCTTCAACTTGATGTGCTGGCTGGAAGGCAAAGATACAGCTTAGTGTAAGCCACAAGACATATCCAGCTTAGTGTAAGCTACAAGACATGTCACAGCTTAGTGTAAGCCACAAGACATGTCACAGCTTAGTGTAAGCTACAAGACATGTCACAGCTTAGTGTAAGTCACAAGACATATCACAGCTTAGTGTAAGCCACAAGACATATCACAGCTTAGTGTAAGCCACAAGACATGTCACAGCTTAGTGTAAGCCACAAGACATGTCACAGCTTAGTGTAAGTCACAAGACATATGCAGCTATGTGTAAGCCACAAGACATATCCAGCTTAGTGTAAGCCACAAGACATGTCGCAGCTTAGTGTAAGCCACAAGACATGTCGCAGCTTAGTATAAGCCACAAGACATGTCCAGCTTAGTGTAACCCACAAGACATATCCAGCTTAGTGTAAGCCACAAGACATATCAAAGCTTAGTGTAAGCTACAAGACATGTCACAGCTTAGTGTAAGCCACAAGACATGTCACAGCTTAGTGTAAGCCACAAGACATCACAGCTTAGTGTAAGCCACAAGACATGTGACAGCTTAGTGTAAGCCACAAGACATATCACAGCTTAGTGTAAGCCACAAGACATATCACAGCTTAGTGTAAGCTACAAGACATCACAGCTTAGTGTAAGCCACAAGACATATCACAGCTTAGTGTAAGCCACAAGACATATCCAGCTTAGTGTAAGCCACAAGACATGTCACAGCTTAGTGTAAGCCACAAGACATGTCACAGCTTAGTGTAAGCCACAAGACATATCACAGCTTAGTGTAAGTCACAAGACATATCACAGCTTAGTGTAAGCCACAAGACATATCACAGCTTAGTGTAAGCCACAAGACATCACAGCTTAGTGTAAGCCACAAGACAATGTGCCAACTGCAGAAGAAGAAAAAAATATACTTATTCCTTACTTTCACATGAGTATTTGGCTGTATTCATTAATCCCTGTGTCGGTTCTGGGCCCTATTGTGGCAAAAACAAGAATAGATCCATCGCTTGCTCAATAAGCTTGTGATAAAAATAAACTAAATGGAAGCTTCTTTTGCAGTACGAGTGCATTTGCCTGAGAGGTAAGCAACCAGCAGTTTGTGTACATAAAAGCCAGATCTGTTAAACAAATGTGCACAAATCACTCAGGTTCTGGAATATGACTATAGTCCATAGGTGGACAAATAACCTGAACTTTCGCCACAGTTTACAGCCAGTAAAAGCAAGGTACAAGACAAGACTATTTACTCTGGCAGCATTTAAGAAAATTCACAATTTTTTGGGGGCAGATAATAAATCATATTCACATGCAAATATGGGTCTTTTGGAAAAATAAATAAGCCATATACTCTCAATATTGCACCAGTCACAGTAAAATTCTGCTCACTTCTTTACATAGTATTTATTTTTTCAGTTTATTTATGTTATCTTTTTGTCTTGTATCATGCAGCGATGAGGTGACATGCAAACAGTTAAATAGTGTCTGTGTGCTTTGTATGTAGAGTTTGTTATGGATGCTTATTCCTTCAGTTTATTTATGTCATCTTTTTGTCTTGTATCATGTGGCGATGAGGTGACATGCAAACATTTAAATAGTGTCTGTGTGCTTTGTATGTAGTTTGATAAGGATGCTTATTCCTTCAGTCCATTGTTTACAACTTCTCTTTTGATTTCCACTTGATCTGTACATTATTGCTTTGTTTGTTGGTAGCAGAGTTAGATGACCAAACCATTTGCTTTATTCTGTTTCTTTGTGCAGTAGTGTAATTCCTTGCTGGCTTACCAGGCCAGTCACAATGTTGTTTAGTTTGTTTTAACATTGAAACACTAATTGTAATTTCCTCTAGCCAGATTTTTTAGTCTGAATCGATCTGGAACCATATTTATTGGTTTTTTTAAAAGTCCTGCTTCTTTTTCTTTAGCATTCGAAGCCCTTGAGGTTTATTGCTGCAGATATCACCCACCTTCTTCTCATAAGCCTTCTTTTTCAAGTTAATCCTGCCACGGTGGAAGGTTTAAAAACAACAAAATCCTGACACTACAGAGGTTTAAAAAAAATTATATCCAGGTATTTACTTAGTCGATCTTCTTATGCTGGTCACTAAAACTCTCAGCTTTAAATTGACATACATTAAGTTGAATAGCTTCTTGTGGTCATTGTAGCACTAAACCATTTTTATTTACAGACAATAGACTGTTAGAGGACCAAGAAGAACTGGCCCAACGTTACACACTTTCTGTTTCCAAAGGTAGAGGCTCCACCTCAGGTAAGACACCATCAGGGCTTTTGTTCTAGTGGTACACAGTACCGGCACCTTTTTTTTTAGCCATAGTTTTTTCAATGCTGCTGTAATATATACTTTGTTGTGAGGACTGTCAACTTTAAAAAAAACATATTTTGGTTAGTTTCTTTCCCTTTTGTCTTGCCATTATGGCTGTATTTACTATTTTTACGGTGTAGGCTAAGGAGTCTTTGAGCCTGAGGATTTAGGGTTGCATGGCTAGTGCTGTCACTGTGGACTGTATAGGTTAGAATGGTTTTTTTTGTCTGAGACAGAAAAAAATCCCTGACCTCGAGGATTCAAACCCAAGTCTTGTAGATGAGAGCCCTGCATTCTTTACCGTTCAACCAGCCGCTCTTCAGTTTGTTCATTATGGCACCTTTTTTTTTTCCCCCAGGAAGAAAGCCCCAGGATCCATAAATGTTGCAGTCAGTGATGCTTCCTGGAGTTTTGGCATTTATTATACAGATATAGTATCAGTTGCGGCGTCCGTGGCTAAGGCGTTGCGAGTCTGACTCGTAAGCCAGCATACCGCGATCGAAACCCACTGCAGGCTGCGTGGATTTTTGTCGTGGTATGGGACGTCGCAGGTCGACCCAGCCTAAAATGGGTACCAGGATGGGCTGTCCTGGGAAAGTAAAGACAGCCGGCGTAATGCTGACCACATTACCCACAGAGTGCTGATGGTCTGTAAAAATATGGGACGCTCTGCCCATATGCCCGATGCGCCGAAAGGCGTGAAAAGGGATCTTCACTTTACTTTACTTATAGTATCAGTTGAAAATTCCCCAATATCTTCATGTTATCTTGTTTTGTATTTGACTTTTCAGGGAGCTGTGCTAGCACAGTGGCTAGATTCTAGCCTGCTTTTTTTTTTTTTAATAAGTGGCTTAGGTTCTAAGGTTGACCAGCCTAAAGTGGGTACCCGGAAACGCCCTGCAAAAGTAAAGGCAGTTTTTGTGATGTTGACCACATCATGCATCAAGTGTCATTTGGTCTCTGCAAAAGATGGGTTTAGCACCATATGCCCAGCACACTAAACTGAGGTGTGATACCACTTGGCAAATTAAGGGAAAAAGAAGGCTGGAAATGATGAAATCAGGGAGAAAGTAATGAGGAATAAAGTAAATCTGGAGTGTAGTAGCATGCTTGAACCTATACCATTGTTCATACTCGGTAACTGGACATGACATAATTTGTGTTCACAAACAACAGAAATAATGGGTTTTTTTCAGCCTTTTCACCCCATCTCGGGGGCTCTGATATAACTTAGGAAATTCTTAGGGATTTCCCTGAAATGACTTATTTTATGTCGGGGGGGGGTGTTAGTTTTAGTGTTCATTAACCCTTAAACACTAAAACTCCTGTATTCTAGGGGTGTCATTGTTTGGTTGTTTTCAGCATTCTCATAGTTTATTGTGTCATCATGTCCAGTTATGTTACTGTCGTTCACCACTGTGTCCTTGTTTGGAAGTGGTGTTGTTGCTTCATGACTTTGCCTTCGCCATGAATTTCCTTGACCTGTCAGCATAGCTGCATCTAACGCTAACCCTCACCCTAACCCATCAGTATACATACGTGAAGACTGTCAGTCCTTTTCAGGACCTTCCACCATCCCCAGAACGGCCCTTTTCAGGGTGCCAGTTTAGCCAGACTTTACTACTTGCTGAGTGAATTACACAAGACAGTGAACTTCATACTAGAGACAACACTGCAGATCCAGACAATCTATTTCAGGCGAATGGAAGAAGAAGAAACTACTACAGCACATTCTACCTAATCTAACAGCTCCCAAGATGTGGTGAAAAAGCAGAAAAGTACCGAAACAGTTTGTCTACCTAAGACAAGTAAAAATAGTTGTCAGGTAAAAACTACAGTAGAAAACATCTGCACCTGTATAAAGAAAGTCATGAAATAAAAAGCAGTAAATGATTGAGATACAAATTAATATGCATTGATTTTGACTCATGCACAGAGGTAGGGTACGGTTCAATCTATGAGTGACAGTCAATACATGTTAGTTCGTTTATCATACTGTTTCTGTGGTTTCAAGAGTTACCTTGCTATTTAGAAATAAACCATGAACAGTCAGCAAGCATAAAAATGAGACATTATTTGGAAGCTGCGGATTGAAATGTAAATATCATAGGCGGATAAAGAAACATAATGAAGTTGTTTTAAAAGAAATTAAGTCATAGGCATCAGAAGAAAACAATTTACATTCTTTAGACCTATGAGAAGCAGAAAACTGAAGTACATAATGACAAAAGGAGAGTTGAAAGTGAGGGGGGGGGGGGGGGGGGGCAAGATAAAAAATGCTAGGCAGTTTGGCATTATGGTATTGAGGATTATTTGTATTATAAATGATTGGCACTACAAGAAACAGAAATCTTTCCACTTGGTGACTCCAAGTGTTTGTAGGCCTGCCTGTATATTCATCATCATCTCTACAATCTTATATGGTCTGTGTACGCCTTTGTTGTCTGGCTGTTATCTACCATTCTCTCTATATGCCTCAGCAATTGCAGATCACAAATTTCTTACTCTCCTTAATTAAGAATTATTGTTATTCAAATTAACTTAACTGATAACTAAAATTTGTGTTTAAACACTCAGTGCTGGTTAGCTGAGTGTCTCCAGAAGCAAGAGATCTGCTTGCTGGTGCAGTTTCTACCTGTATAAAGCGAGTAACACCTGTACATCTGTTTTTTATGTAAATGTGTTTGCAGGTATGTCATTGACCAGTGTGAAAGAAGAAGAAGGTGAGGATGGTGAACGTGTGATAACAGAAACCTACGCAATTCCAGCACCACCTAGACGGCAGTACTCTTTAAGAGAGGTTAGTTACTTATAATTGGTTGTTGTCACATTATGGTTACTTGATCTTCTTCTTCTTCTTTTTCTTCTTCTTCCTTGCGTTCACCAGAAAGTTCTTGGTGTTCATCCACCTCTGGGCTTCAGTCTTGTTCCAGAACCAGAGTGTCGCATGCACATCTGTTTTCCATATCTAGCTTATTTGTATGCATACTGTTGGTTCCTTACCTCTCCAGCAGATGTACTCTGACTTTGAAGGCTGTCCCCAGTTAGTCGTTTAGGGAGGCAGTGGGTCTATTTTTGTTTTCCCCCACAATGGGGCCCAGAAACCCACACAGGGAATTCTTCTTCTTTGACTTTTTCTTTTTTTTTCATTTTTATTCATCTAATATTTTTTTAGATGTGCATCAGTTATGCATGTCATTATTACAAAATTACTTTATGTCTAACATATCTGACATCTTCAAGAAATTGACTGGAGTTAGCTTTCCCAAAGATTATGCATACTAATGTGCGGACATTGGCGCTAATTTATCAACTCTTTTCTTGTTGTGCTAAAATAGAGGTGATTGCTGGTGTAAATTGGGACTGCAAAATTTGACAAAGGAAAAATACAAACGGATACCTCTCAGTCTTTGCTCGTCCTTACAGTGTCAGTGCCCTGTTTGTAGTTTTCAGCTAGGCGGTAATATCTAAACTTTTCAGCCCAATGCATCCTATTTCAGCAAACTCCTAATGGGTCACCTTATATGTTAAAGGGCGGTTTGTCTACATCCCCTCTTCCCCCATGGGGCTCTGGGGCCCGTGGGGAGGGGGGGACAGGTAGGGAAACTAATATTTAAACCAAAGTCTTTATCGGAAAAAAATCAAAATCGGTGTCGGTTCTGTTGCCGCATTGTGGGAAAACCAAGAATAGACACACTTCCTCCCTAACAAGCATGTCTAAAGGAGTGCATGTCTAAAGGAGTGCATGTCTAAAGGAGTGCATGTCTAAAGGAGTGCATGTCTAAAGGAGTGCATGTCTAAAGAAGTTAAGTAATTGCGGGCTTCGATCGAAGTTGCCGAGCAGCAAAGAGCAGCCAACTGCACACATATAAGCCAGTAAAACAGATTTACAAGCAAAACTCAGGCCCTGGCACAAGCCAAAGTCCAAATGGACAAACAACCATGACTTTACAGCTGGTGAATAATGAAAATGAGGAGAAAATAAAAATTCTTTACTGAAAAACAAACATATCATTTTCCCAAGTAGTTATCCTAATAGCTGAACATTAGGAAATGAAATTTTAAAAATGTGAAATCCAATCAGGCACCAGGAAACAAATTTCAGCAAGTGAATATGGAAAGTCAAAAATAATAGAAATGATTTCTATCATCAGTTTTTTTTTTTTTTTTTTTTCAAATATAATTTTAATCATCTCTGTTATCTTTCATGTTCTCTGCTTTTTTAAAATATTTTTTTAATTTAAACAATTTTTTTTTTTTTTCAGCAGATTTTTTTTTTTTCACAAAGGCTTTTAGTGAAATATCTGCTTTGTATTTGTTTCATCTAGTTGTTGAGCTTCCCATTCACGTCATGTTCATTTGTATTTCCTTGTTATGCACGACAAAGTTTTTAAGTTAATGATTTTTCTGTGAGTATACTGGGTGGAGGGAGCTGAGGTCGCTAGCACAGTAGCTAGGTGTTTACCATCTCTTAGGGCTTAGGTTCAAATCCACATTGACGGATTTTAAAAAAGTACCATGGCTCCCAGATTGACCCAGCCTAAAATGGGTAGCAGGTAATCTTCTTCTTCTTCGCGTTCACTGGCTGTAAACTCCAGTGGAAAGTTCTGGTTGTTTGTTCACCACAATACTTTAGTCTTGTTCCTGAACCTGAGTGTTGCATGCACAACCATTTAACAGATTTGATCTAATTGTATGCAGATTGTTGGTTCCTTGCCTCTCAGGCAGAAGCACTCCGACTTTGAAGGAAGCCCCAAATAAGTAGACTCTTGTTGGGGAGGCAGTGGGTCTATTCTTGTTTTCCCAACAATGGGGCTGTGGTAATATCTTGAGAAGTAAAAACGGCTGGTGTGATGTTGACTAGATCCTCTGTCATGGGCCAGTTGATCTGTAAAAATATCATATGCCTGATGGGCCACCGTCAAGTAAAGAGCCCTTGACTGGACTCACATATGATGTGGTGTAGTGGCCAGTATGGCTGCTAACTTAACTCACATCAGATGTGGTATAGGGGCCAGCATGACTGCTGACTTGACTCACATCAGATGTAGTATAGTGGCCAGCATGACTGATGACTTGACTCACATCAGATGTGGTATAGTGGCCAGTATGACTGCTAACTTGACTCACATCAGATGTATAGGGGCCAGCATGACTGCTAACTTTACTCACATCAGATGTGGTATAGGGGCCAGCATGACTGCTGACTTGACTCACATCAGATGTGGTATAGGGGCCAGCATGACTGCTGACTTGACTCACATCAGATGTGGTATAGGGGCCAGCATGACTGCTGACTTGACTCACATCAGATGTATAGGGGCCAGCATGACTGCTGACTTGACTCACATCAGATGTGGTATAGGGGCCAGCATGACTGCTGACGTGACTCACATCAGATGTGGTATAGTGGCCAGCATGACTGCTAACTTGACTCACATCAGATGTATAGGGGCCAGCATGACTGCTGACTTGACTCACATCAGATGTGGTATAGGGGCCAGCATGACTGCTGACTTGACTCACATCAGATGTGGTATAGGGGCCAGCATGACTGCTAACTTGACTCACATCAGATGTATAGGGGCCAGCATGACTGCTGACTTGGGTCACATCAGATGTAGTATAGTGGCCAGCATGACTGCTAACTTGACTCACATCAGATGTAGTATAGTGGCCAGCATGACTGCTGACTTGGGTCACATCAGATGTATAGGGGCCAGCATGACTGCTGACTTGGGTCACATCAGATGTAGTATAGTGGCCAGCATGACTGCTGACTTGACTCACATCAGATGTAGTATAGTGGCATGACTGCTCACACACACACTCACCTCTCATTCATCTTGTGTCATTAATTTTCTCTCTTATTCATGATTCTTTCTCTCTCTCTCTCTCTCTCTCTCTCTCTCTCTCTCTCTCTCTCTCTCTCTCTCTCTCTCTCTCTCTCTCTCTTTATCTCTCTCTCTCTCTCTCTCTCTCTCTCTCTCTCTCTCTCTCTCACACACACAAATATACTCAACACACACCAGCCCTAACACACACACTAATACCTTAACACTCATTGTTTATATCATCTCTTTGTCAACCACACTTAATGACTTCTAGAAGCCCCTAATATGTATTCTTATTATTATTGCTGTTGTTTATTACAGAAACATGAAAAGGTAACATAAGAGATTATTTGCTTATTGATTGCTCTGTTTTATTTTTTATTTAATTAATTGCTGTTTAGTAAGAGTTTTTCCTCTGTTTATATTGGGATATGGAATTACTATTAATATTATATGTTATGGCTCTCTGCTGAGGGGGGGGGGGGGGGGTCAACCATTTCACACCAGGTTGTTCTATCCTTCATTATCACATGTATCCCGTCACCGTGTCCTCGCTTTTTACTTTACTCTGTAGCTTCCTTCTCCTGTGTGTATTTTTTTTTTTTTTTGGGTCTTGCTTTTTTTTTTTATATTCCCCTGTGGGTTCCAGTGCAAAGACATTCTAATTATATTGTTCTCAGGTTTTCTCAACATGTCCTATCCAACGCCAGCATCTTTTCATCACTTCTTGATGGTCGTGTAGAGCATATTATATAAATGAAAATGGTTTTCATTAAAAAATGTTTATTTTTCCCTTTGCATGGAAACTCATGGGATTCCCTGTTGTTTGATATTTTTTTAATCTCATGGTGGCTAACCTTCAGATAGTAGTCTGGGAAAGAGTGGGTGGGCAGACTCTGTACCACAGTGATCAGAAATTACTTATATAAATTGGTGTTTTGGTGTTATATTATGTCTTTTATTATCTATATTGCTTACTAACTGACAGTTTTGCATACATCTTCATTTGTGAATTGTATATGCAGTTAAAGTGCTTACATTCTGCTGCCTGGTGATCTGGTTTGCTACCAAGCTGCAAACAGTTTGAACTAAACTATCAGGATGCTCACTTAATTGAGCTGAGTGTGAAAAATGTGCAAAAAGCACTGGTTATGCTACACCATAAATTATAACAGGGTTTCGTAAAGCATCCTTTTTTTTTCTTCTTTGCCTTCTTAGCATTCACCTGCTATAAACTCTGTAGGAAAGTCCTATTTATTCAGCCACTTCTAGACTTTTAATCTTGTTCCAGACCTGAGTTTTGCATGCACATCTGTTTTACAGATCTGGTTTGCTTGGATACAGATTGTTGGTTCCTCACCTCACAGGCAGATGCACTCCGACTGAAAGAAAAACCAAATATTAGTTGCCTCTTATGACATGCTTGTTAAGGGGCAATGGGTATGTTACCCCCCACCCCCCTTTCAATATATCCCCGGAACCCACACAAGGAGTGAAGCATCGACAATATATTTTTTCTGTATAATCATCTCTGCTGCTGAACTGCCATTACGTTTTATTAAAAAGGACTGTACGTTTGCTCTAACTGCAGGGGCTTTATAAATATTGCATATGCTTATAAACATAGTGGTCTGGGTTTAAGCATCAGCGAAGATGTGGGAGCACTCCTACCCCTCCCGTCCCATATATGGTTAGGATGAATGGATAGAAAAATAACATACATCGTACAAAAGATCAGATCAGATACTGGGACAACTAGCACCACTTTCGACACACAGAAGGATATCCGGTATAAACAAACCAAAAGTAAATAGGAGTTTGAGCGTACTTTACCTATAACTGTATCTTTATTAATGATGAGTAATACACAGAGGCATTCTTCTTCTTTTCTCTACTCCTGGGAGGCCTCGCGGCCTTGGGCAGGAAGAGATCTCTGGAACGGGCCTTTCTGTGCGCTTTGTAAAAAGTACTCTCCTTGTTACACCTAGCATTGTATGTAAACATTTCATTTCTGCTGTGACTATTTTCTTCTTTATTGTCTTCTCAAGACAGTGTCTATGATGGACATTTATAGCACTGCATTGGTAAGAATAATACAGAGATATTGTTTACAGTATTGCCAGTGTGGGTTTTGGGGCCCCATTGTGGGGAGTAGAAGAACAGACCCACTGTCTCTGTAACAAGCATGTTGTACAAGCCGACTAATTATGGGAGTTTCCTTCGAAGTCAGAGTGCATGTGCCTAAGAGGCGAATAACCAACAGTCTGCATACAAATAAGCCAGATCTGTAAAAAGGATGTGCATGCAAAACTTAACATCTGGAATGAGACCAAAGTCCAGAAGTGGGCGAACAACGGGAACTTTTTGTCAGAGTTTACAACCGGTGAATGCTAAGAAGAAGTAGTTTACCGTTACATTGCTTACCCAGTTTGGCTAGAGTGTATGATGGCAGTATGCTCACTGTGTCTGACTTATCCGTTTATTATCTTCAGACGAAACAGATCAACACATATGGAACTGTACCAAGATCTCGGACAAGAACCACCACCAGGAAGACCATCCTTCCACCTTGATGTGGCCGACTGACTATTCCAGGATTGAATCCTCTTGTACAGACACCTGTAAACTGCTTGATACTACTTACAGAACAAGGACCGTGGCGTATTGTATTTGCTGTATTTATGTGTGAGATGGTGTTTGATGAAAATGTGTCTTCAAATTAAAATTGTGATTATCTATTTGGCAGAATAAATTATAAAATTAGCCTGTTTATATTAAAGTCTTTCCTTGGACCTGTTCTGTTTTGTTGGATTTAATGCAAAGCACTAAATAACAGTTTTTAACTCTTTCACTACCAGGCAGTGGTTGGTTAAAGTCCCCAATTAAAACTAATACTAACTTGAGATTTGTAATTATAATGTTAAATCAGTACTGTTGTATGGAGCGGAAACATGGAGAACAGCTAAAAAACTGCAAACATTCATTAACTGGTGACTGCACAGAACACACAGAATTAAATGGTATGTAGAACTTTTAGAGAGAACAAAACAAGTCCGAGTGGAACCAAGATGTGAAGAAAAGACGTTAACAGTGGTTAGGACACGTGTTCAGAAATCTGAGACCAAAATAACTAGAATGTGTTTGCTCTGGAACCCACAGGGGCCAAGAAATAAAGGAAGCCCCAAAAAAAACTTAGAGAAGGGAGCTAGAAAGTGAAGTTAAAAAAGATAGGGAGAGCTGTATGCGATCGCGAAGGATAGAATGAGTTGGTTGAGGGCCTATGCTCCATTCGGGGTTAGAAAGGCTGAAGAAGAAAAAGTGTCTATCCTGATGTTATCCCTTGTTCCTTAGAGCAGTGATTCCCATTTAGTTAACTCGGCAGTCCTAGAAGATCATAACTAAAGCAGTATTGATGAAACAAAAGCACTGGTATACTGCATCCATAGGGTCCAGATGCACAGAACATTGTGGCTGAATTGTGTTGCTGGATTTTTTTTAGTTTGCCTGAGTTAACTTAAGATGTCAATAATACCTGTGGATCCCTCTAATTTTCGAAGGTATGCATTGGACCCCATGCTTCTTAATAAGTCATACCGAAGAACTTGTAATTTATAAATTAGAGTCACACCCACAAATTAGGCTTGCATTTTAAAGTTGAGGGTTGGTTTTTTCTTTCTTTCTTGCAAATGATATCAGGGGCCCAGTAAATTCGTTCCATAAACTCCCAGAGGTGTGTGGACCACTAAATAGGGAACACTGTCTTAGAGCAATAGTGTTTTAGTCTTAATGAATGTGAAAATATTGCTTTAGAATAGAAGGGATTTTAGTAATCAATAGGGGGAAATGGGTTCATACAAGAGATAATTGGGGCAAAAGGAGTCAAGAAGTGTGCACAATATAAAGGGTAATTAGCACGCATATTGTATGTTACCTGGTACTGAAAGAGTTAAGAATGGTTTTGTATTTTCAGACATATCCTGTTGTGTGTTCAAAAATATACAAATAATGAAACTCTTTGTTTTCTTTTTAACATTCATAGAGCTCTACTCTTGGTTTCTCTTTTTCCTAATAATATGGTGACAGTGTACAAATGATTCTTTATTCAGCCACTGTACAAATGATTTTTTTTTTCAGCCACTTGTGTTGTAGCATGTTTATTCTTGAATAATTTTGATTTCCTTCTTTGTACTATCAGTAAGCTTTGGTTCCATTTATAAAATGCTGTTCATGATTTTTAAGATTAATAGAAAGAGAGGAAAATAGCAAGAGAAAGTTTTGACAATCATTTATCATGGCTTGGGCGGGTGTGAGAGAATACCGTTGCTTGCTGTTGGAGATTGCAGGATCTGGAAAAGCAAGATCGATAAGGCCAGACAGCAAGGCACTTGATGATAATGTTTCATGATTTAATAGATCTTCATTTTTTTTTTCATTTTGGTTTATGAAAGATGACATATGCATATTTTTTTAGTTTATGTAGTTTTTCTTTTATAAAGATATTTTCTTTGCTTGAGTATTTTGATGACCAAACAAAAAAATTATGTATGACACAAATATATGATTTGCACAACTGTTTATTCCTGTTGATTGCCATATATATTCACTAAAGCATACAACATCGATGGAATTTTTCCAGTACAGTATTTCACAAAGCCATCTTCATAAGTTGAGGTATTTCACCCACTAAACAGATCATCCGGTATGTTTGGTCACCGAACCTGATCACCTGACCTTATTAGTCCCCTGTAAGCATGGATTTGTTTTTAACACGAACTAAATGTCCAGTCCCTAAGAATTTGTGTTAACGAGGTTACTGTATTTTTCTTATTATTGATCCATGATATTCTGATAATTATTAAGTCATCAACATAAAAGCTGAATCAATCATGAAAGAAAACAAATTGTGAATTTTGCGATGCACACTATACTGTATTACAAAATATATTGACCAAACATATACTTATTATTGTGGAACGTTATTATGTACGCACATTAAATATTGACACACATTTATGTCACTATTGTGTATTCCCTTTGGTTATCTTGTCTTATGCTTTCAATAGGAACAGATTGTACTTTTCAATCTTAACAAAACTGACAGTCTGTATTAGAAAATAATGAATACTGTATTTACTCATGCATAAGCGCCACGCATGTTTAGGCGATAATTTTAGGAAGAAAATAATTTTTTAGATTTTAGTCTGGAAACTGTAGTACCTGTAAGCAGTGAAAGATGGGCTGTGTAACAGCAACTTACAGTTGTAAAATTCAGTTGCAAGTAGTGCATTAAGTATAAGTGAATTTAAAGCCAGTTATGGCTGGGCAGGGCGCTTTACAGCAGAAAATTACCTGGTGATTAGGTGGCTGACAACAGTGGTACAGCCGACTTGGTACTTACACAGATGAGCAGTGCAACAGCTAGCGAATAGCCAATTAAACAGGAACCAGGCCCCTCAGAACCAGAACTTAGGCAACAAATGAACAAACTCAGGTGAAATTGCTCACCACAAAGGAAGATAAATAAAATAAGATAGCAAAGGAACCAACTGTGCTTGAAAAAGCAGGCCATCAGGCGGCTAAAAAAGGACTAAGCTTGGAATTTTTGTTTGATTTTATACGATACGATACGTGGTACAGCGACTTCCTGACACCTCCCAAAAGAAAGTGTTTTTATTTCAACGACATGTTCTGAAGTTACAGAAGACACATAACTACAGCATAGCGGCAATTTGAAATGCAGATGAAACTTTCATTTATTAATAAATTTTTGTACAAGTGACCTGTAGACCTAATATATTGGTTATAAGCCACACCCTGTTGTTTAATCAACCATTTTCGTTTTCGGTTAAAATGCTGCAGTATGTTGGTCACAGTACCACTGAACGGGGGCCAGAGTTTGCGAATTCTTGTCTAAATCAGAAAATGATATGTTTGCAGGTCAGATTATGGTACTAACCATGTCGAACAGTGGCATTTGGTGACCAGAGTTTGTGATGCTTGATCCATATGAAGATTTTGCTAATTGAGAATGTGATTAGAAGTTATGAGCAGTATATATATATATAGAGTACTTAATTGCCTTTTATTTGAAACTATCTTTTTGTCGCTTAAATTATCCTGTTTGGTTGCATTAATTGATCTTATGTAGTGTGGTGTTTATATTTTAAATATAGCAGTGTCGTTTAGCTTGATATGCTTGTTTTCTTCTATTTAACAAGTTTTTTCTCTCTCTGCACATTTGCTAGCATGCTGTCATTAATAATGTTATAATATTACAATAATGAGCTTACTCTTAAGTCTGTCAATGTGTCAGTTTTACCAGGCTCAAACAGCTTTTAGATAAAATCAGCTTTGGTTCTACTGATGTATGTAAAAAAAGATAAATACGAGTAAGTGCAGGACATGATGAGCACTCGCGGAGCCAGTTCGAAATGACTGTCTGTAATACATGTGCTGATGCAATGATTAGATGACTGCCTACTGACTTGAAGGCCTTGAGTTCAAATCTGCATTAGGATGGATTTTTATAAATGACCTTAGCTCCCAGATCAACCCAGTCTTTTTTTTTTTTTTCAACTTGTTACATTCTAAATGTTGCCTTGTGTTTATATATGGATAACATATTCTGTAAGCATTTGCTGTGTTATGTTTTGGAGTAGCAAAGATGTTATTGAAATTCCTATCAGTCATACTGAAATTACACACATTATCTAATGTTATAGGAATTCTTATCAGTCTATCTATCACACTGAAATTACACACATTTTCTAATGTTTTAGGAATTCCTAACATTCACACTGAAATTAGACACATTATTGAATGTTATTGGAATTCCTGTCAGATGAAAAGAACGTGTGGGGGGGGGGGGGGGGGGGTGCAGTAACGTAACCCAGAGGGGTTATCTTTTATGCTAATCTTCACTATGTTAATTTGTAATCTGCTGAGGGTACCACGCCCGTACAGATTGATGAATAGTCCTGTCAGAAATGTGTTTCATACTTCGTCTGTCTGTTTGATATATTCTACTATGCTGTTAGTCAGCTTGATTTGTCCTGTCCGATATATCCCCATGTGCTATCAGTCAGCTTGATTTCTCCTGTCTGTTTTATATATTCTACAAAGCTGTCAGTCAGCTTGATTTGTCCTGTCTGTTTTATATATCCTGATGTGCTATCAGTCAGATTGATTCGTCCTGTCTGTTTGATATATTCTGATGTGCTGTCAGTCAGCTTGATTTTTCCTGTCTGATATATATATCATGATGTGCTGTCAGTCAGCTTGATTTCTCCTGTCTGACATAAACTCAAATATATCAGTCTGGCTGGCGCACCTCGATATTCTTGATATATCCTCATTTTGTTTGACCTAACCTGGGTTCCTTTGATATATCCTTGGTCTGTTAGATGTGTCCTTAGTCTGTTTAAAATATCTTTGGTTTTAAATATTTTCTGTTTGTTTGTTTCATATATTCTCATTTCATTTAACAAATCCTTGGTCGGTTTGATATATCATTAACTCTTTTAGTCCCCAGGTGTTTAGCATCATAACCCCAAGGGATAGTAAAGAGAGACGT